AATGTTTGTTTGAGAAAAATTCGGCAACATTTCCCCTTGGTTCCCAAGTATATAAAATAATATATACCCAAAGAGCAAAGAGAAAATGACAACCAAATTTTTCTTAAACAAAAAATCATGCAATACACATTCTCATTCTATATGAGATAAAATATTAAAAAAGCAGTCCCAAAATAGGGATAGCCCGAAATTAATTTCTAAATCAATTTAAGACGGATATTTCTAGGCACTTGATGATTATGAAGAATAAACTTAAACTAAAAATCAATGATTCAACATGTTTTAATAAGAAAATCATATTAAATGGTACATTATTAAAACCATAATTTTAAAACTACAATGTTATGATAGAAAATAAACAAAAGTATAATGTTATAATTAACAAAAATATCATAATTTTGTTAATTATAACATCATACTTTTGTTTATTTTCTATTTTAGCATCGTACTTTTAATATTATATTAGATAATATTATGGTTTAAAAAAATATACCATTTAATTTGATTTTATAATTAATTTAATTTGATTTTATAATTAATTTAATTTGATTTTAAATTTAACTTAACTTAATTTTATAATTAATTTAATATTTTCTTTTTTGTTATTAGTTATTTTTATTAAATTAATTTAATTTAATTTTATAATTAAATTTACTTTATTTCATTATTAATTTTAATTTGATTTTATAATTAATTTAATTTGATTTTATAATTAATTTAATTTGATTTTATTATTATTTTAATTTGATTTTATAATTAATTTAATTTGATTTTAAAGTTATCTTATTTTGATTTTAAAATTAATTTAATATTTTCTTTTTTATTACTATTAGTTTTTTTAATTAAATAAATGGGCTTTATAATTAATTTTATTTGAAATTAATATTAATATTAATTTGATTTTATAATTAATTTAATTTGATTTGATTTTATAATTAATTTAGTTTAATTTTAAAACTAACTTAATTTGAAATTAATAGAAGTACATTGCTATTAATAACCTAATTAAGCTAAAGTCGTAATGACCAACATTAAATAATTAACAAAATTAAGCACTTTGAAACGATATTAACAAGAAAATAAAAACATAATAAACATCTAATACAATCATACATCACTTGATCTTATATTAGGGGTGTGCAAAAAACCGCACAAACCGCACAAACCGTCCACACCGCACCGTAAAATGCGGTTTAGAATTTTGTGGTGCGGTTTGCGGTTCGTAATTTTATCAAACCGCACTATGCGGTGTGGTTTGCGGTTTGTATTTATAAAATCGTGGTTCAAACCGCACCGCATGTTATATATATATATATATATATATATATATATATATATATATATATATATATATATATATATATATATATATACACACTTTTTTTCTTTACTTTGTTATAACTTCAAATCACGATTTAGAAACGATGTATTTAAATATATTTCTTACAATAATCAAATATCTATAACGTAACATTAAATCACTATTAGATCAAGATCCCACCGTTTACAAGAATATAACAATTATAACGGCAATATAAAGCAATAACAGTGACACTTACAAAACTATAGTAGCATGAATCACAATTTATTAAAAATGATTTAACTTGAAAATTGTATTTGTTTTTATAAAATAAAAGCAATCAATTTTTTTAACCGGGTCAGTTTTTTGGTTTTTTGATAGATTTAATGTTGAACAACTCATCAAACCGCACAAACCGCAACCAAACCGCATAAACCGCCCGCATCAAACCGCACCGCATAACGCGGTTTTGAACATTTGTGGTGGGGTTTGCGGTTTCTAAAATATTCAAACCGCATATGCGGTGCAGTTTGCGGTTTTGACTCTAAACCGCACCAAACCGCACAACGCACACCCCTATCTTATATACATTCAAACTATTAAACCTAAATATCACATAATCATATATGTATATAATACATTCAATTCCAATTTCCATTTCATTTTAGACATCATTACCACTTTGATATTCAAATTTCATACAATTAAGCATACAAGACATCCAATTCCAATTTCATACAAATATGTACAAATCGAAATACGAAATCAAACAAATCATGCCCAACAAATTTCATCATTCATCATAGTAGGAATTTTCAAAGAATTATAAACATGGAATCAAACAACATATATCAAATTCCACATTTTCATACATTAATATCCAACCAAAAAAAAAAAAAAAAAACCCTTACATTTTCTGTGTTGGTGGGTGGTGTGGTTGCCGGAAGTAGTAAGTCGGTAGTGATCGGATGTGGGAAGTTGACATGGTGGCTGTGTTCACCAGAAAACAACCGTATCAGCATTAAAAAAAAATCAAAAATCAAAAAACCTTACCTGGAACGGATAATGTGTTGGTCGTACGTCGCAATAGACGTCGTTGCAGGTGGTCAAACCTCCGGTGACAACCCTACCGAGACACAAATCAAAAACAGGAAAAAAAAACCCAAAATCTCAAAATTAAACCGGAAAAAGAGGGTAATCGGAAAAGAAATACTGAACTAGCTACCTACCTGTGTCGTCGGCGGTGAAGACGAGTGGCCGGAGGTCCTTTGGACGGACTATCAGAGAGAGAGAGAGAGAGAGAGAGAGAGAGAGAGAGAGAGAGAGAGAGAGAGAGAGAGAGAGAGAGAGAGAGAGAGAGAGAGAGAGAGAGAGAGAGAGAGAGAGAGAGAGAGAGAGAGAGAGAGAGAGAGAGAGAGGTTTTGGTGAGCACTGCAAATGAGAGGGGGTCGAAGGAAGCAGATGACTTAAAACCCTATACCGATGACATGTCGCTGGTATAGAGTTAAGTCACAGGACGTCCTTTTCTCCTTTTCGTAAATTAAAAAAATAAATAAATAAAAAATGTATTTCCAGACGACAAGTCGTCTGTACTGTGTCGACACGGAGTATCACGCGGATCGCTATCATTCTATACTGACGACTTGTCGTCGGTATAACCCACACAAATCGATGTCGTTTCTTTTTTCTGCAAAATGGAATATAAATAAATAAAAACTATATTTTGCATAAGCTATACCGACAACATATCGTCGGTAAACGTATTGAGGAAACCGCGTAAAAATTTTCTTTCCCGCTTAAGGTATACCGACGACTTATGGTCGCTATATAATGTCAGGTCAAAAAAATTTAGCCAGCTCTATACTGATGAGATATCGTCGGTATAGATGACACAATGACTTAAGTCGTCTGCATATGACTTATTTCGTGTAGTGAAAAAATGAAGGGATCAGATCACTTGGTTCAAGAAGTTTTGTGGTAGGTCTCAACCAAGACAAATGGTTATTGTTTTTGTTGGGGACAAAGATAAATCCCAATTACAGCCATATTTGGGAAGTTTAAACTATATTGAAGATACTTATACAGATCTTGCTTTTGATAGTGCTCCACTTTATGACATATTAAAGAAAAACATTTCTTCGTATATATGGGGAGGAACATACATACTAAAGCTTATAAAGCTTTTCAAGGTGAAAAAAATAAAATTCTCTGGTAACATTTTTTAATACCAGTAACAGTTAGTATAAACTTATTAGCAAATATTTTATTTCATTTTATTTTTATTTGTAATTCGGGCATTGGTTATATTTTAAACCCTGAAACCCAAAAAAGAAAACCCCAACAACACCCCTAAGTTGAATGTTTGTATCTTGTTGGGTTAATTCAGTAAAATTAGGACGAGGGATATTTTCTGAACAATTTTTAAATATTAGTTTTCTTTCCGGTATTTGTGTTTGGGTCAAACTCTTTTTGGTCTTAGTATAAAGAAGGCTTGTAATTCATTAAGAACTCATTTTATTTCAAACAATATACTTAGGAGGCTCCAAGTAATTGTCAATTCCCCTGTTCCTGTTCTTTCTTAATTCTCTGTTTATACTTTGTCATTATGTTGTGCACAAGGATCAAGGTGTGAAGCACATCCTTTTGATTACATATCTTACATGTACAGTAAAAAAATTACATAATCAAAAGACAGAAAACTTACAGTATGGATTCATACCTGATGTATCATTATTCAGGGTATATTTGTCATTTTCTGATTTCTGATTTGGGAGTTAGGAATTGTGTCATGGCTTAGGCTTAATTGGAAATGTTTTCTTTTTTCAATTTTCCAACTTTATAAACGATTCATGTGTTGAATATGATTTCAAAATCTCTTTATTATAGGAATGTCATCTATATACAAAGCAATTTTCGCTGCTATAAATATAATTGGGTAGAGTTTTCAATTTCTTATTACAGCATTCTACTTTGAAAAACCGACCCAATTATAGCAATGCTATATTGTTCTAATAAGAAAAAAATATGCAAGTACAATGCTATAATTTAATAGAATTTTTAAAGTGAAATGGCTTAATAAGAAAAAACTGAAACTAAAATGCTATAATAGGAAGAAATCATAGATAAGTAAAATGAAAGTATGTTGCTAATTCTTGTATTTTCCCTAACAATCTAATTTCATGAATCAAGCGATTCTAAACATTGGATGCATTTGAATACACTTTGGGTGACTTTTAAGCCACTTGACATGTTTTGAAATTTTGCTTTGTTTTATATTAACTTTACTCATTTGGATAACCAGAAGAACTTATGAACTAAAAAATGTAAGTCAAACTGTGCCATTCTCACTGAGCTAGCACTTTTATATGTTAACTAAAATCATGCCTTTATTGGTGGAATCCAAAACCAAAATCATCTAATACACAATAAAATCCTTGTGTATTAGATGATTTACAATCCATGGTTATGCATGCTATTCCTCTTCTCATACAACGTATCTACATCTTGCTGGAAAAACTTTGAGTACTATTTACTTATGGCTTGTAGATGATATTTTAAAAAAGATAGTTCTGCAAATCATTGATGAAAATATGAACGGACAAAAAAGTAAGCTAATAGAAAACTTTTAACAATTTCACCCCCTCTTCTAATATGTTGCACATGGTTTGCAGGTATCACTAAAAAGCTAGGATATTGGAAAATGGAGGTTGTATGTGCAATCATTAGTCCTATTGTTGAATCTTTCATTGCTCCTGTCAAGAAACAACTGGGATATATTTTTTTCTCCACAAAACTTGTTAGGAACATGAATACCAAAATGAAGCAACTGCATGGTATGATCCTTGATGTCAAAAAGAACATGGAAACAAGCAACATAAGCAATCTGGAAATACCTGCTCGTGTACCAGGGTGGTTGGCAGATGTCGAAAAGACTAAAGAAAAAGCTCAAAGCATTGCAAGTACTGGGAATGGATGTTTTAACATGAAAATGAGGTACAAAGCAGGAAGGAATGCATTCAAGATCATGGAGGAGATGGATAGTCTTATTGATATAAATAATAAGATAACTTGGAGTGATGCTCAAAGACCTCTTGGGAAAGTGAACTTGAAAATCGCATCCAGCTCTGCACCTTCGGATGGTGATGCCCAAAATCACTTCAAATCAAGAGAGAAGTCTTTTAAGAAAGCCTTGGAGTCCCTCCAACAAGATCACATGAGCAAAGTGATAGCCATATGTGGAATGGGTGGTGTGGGGAAAACCACTATGATGGAACAACTGAAGAAGACTGCAGAAGATAAGAAAATGTTTGATTGGATTGTGAAGGTGGTTATTGGTCAACAACTTAACATGTTTTCTATTCAACAAGCTGTGGCAGAATACATGGGCCAATCCCTCACTGAAACCAGTAAAACTGCAAGAGCAGATCGTCTGCGTATAACATTTGAGAACCTCCCAGAGGGTAGAAGAAATGTTTTAATGATATTAGATGATGTATGGGAGACGATTGAACTTAAAAATATCGGATTAAGTCCTTTGCCCAATGGCTTCAAGTTGTTGCTGACATCACGAAACCAAAATATTTGCAATAAAATTGCAGTAGAAGCTGATTTGGATTTGACACTAGTTAGAGTGGATGTGATGGAGGAGCTCGAAGCCCAGAATTTCTTTTGTCAAATCACAGGAGTTTCAAAACGACATGATGTGGACCTCAATCAAATCGGAAGTGACATTGTGAGAAGATGCGGTTTTTTGCCCCTTGCTATTAAACTCATTGCCACAACCCTTAAATCTCAAGAAGTGTTTGTATGGAGAGATACGTTTCAACGTTTGAAGAAGAACAATCTTGATGAGAATGTGCAAGAAGTTATTCAGATAAGCTATAATTATATAAAAACAGAGGATGAAAAGGCGATTTTTCTTCTGTGTGGCTTGTTTCCTGATGACTTTGATATTCCAATAGAAGAACTCACAAGATATGCATGGGGTCTAAAGTTACTAAGTGAAGTTTCTACTTTGGGAGATGCAAGAAACAGGACAAAAACGTGTGTGCAGAATCTCAAAAGTGCAAATTTGTTGATGGATAGCGATTATCTTGGGTGTGTAAAAATGCATGATCTTGTGCTTGCTTTTGTGTTAGGTAAATTTTCTAAAGGTGACGATCCATGGATGATTAATCATGGTGATATTTCAAAGTTGAGTACAGCTGGAAGGAGCGATTCTTGCAAAAGAGTATCTGTTACTTGCACGGGTATGTCTGAGATTCATAGAGACGTGTGGTACCCGAATGTATCACTTTTGAGACTTATGCATGGAGATAAGTCTCTTAAGTTTCCTGAAGACTTTTATGAAAGAATAGAAAATATTGAAGTTATAGCATATGAAAAAATGCATAATCCGTTGCTTCCTAGATCACTTCAGTGCTCCACCAAGCTACAAACACTCATTCTCCATCAGTGCCGATTGATGTTTGATTTCTCTTTTATTGGTGAACTTTTGAATCTGGAAGTGCTCAGTTTTGCTCATTGTGGCATCACAAATTTACCATCCGCAATCGGAAATTTGAAGGAGTTAAAGCTACTGGATTTGTCGGGTTGTGTCAATCTTCGCATTGATGATGGTGTCTTAAAAAATTTGGCTAAGCTTGAAGAGCTTTATATGAGAGTTGATAATAAAAAGGCAATTGGGTTCACAGACAGTAATCATGCTGAATTAGCAGAACTTTCAGAGCACCTTTCTGCACTAGAAGTTGAGTTCTTTGATAATAATGGTATGCCCAAGAACATGCTGTTTAAGAAACTTGAAAGGTTCAGGATCTCTGTGGGACGTAGTTTAGAAGACAATACTGGCAAAAATATGCACTCATTTGAAAACACATTGATGTTGGTCACTAACAAAGATAAGCTATTGGAATCTAGAATGAATGAGTTGTTTGAGAAAACGGAGGTGCTATATTTGGAGGTGGATGGTATGAATGATCTTGAAGAAGTTTTACTGGAATCAATCCATCTTCCTCGACAGGCATTTAATAATCTAAGAGTCCTTAATGTTTTCAAGTGTAAAAATTTAAAATACCTCTTCACAGTCCCTATTGTAAATGGTTTGGTGAAGCTTGAGCGCCTCACAGTTTCAAAGTGCTCTGTTTTGGAAGTTCTTGCACACAGTGAGAATGGTGGAGATGGGGCAATTAAGTTTCACAAGCTAAAGTTTCTAAGTTTGGATAGGCTACCAAAGTTGACAGGTCTTTGCAACACTGCTAATCTAATTGAGCTACCACAACTGGTGAAGTGGATACTTGATGGCCTTCCTAATTTCAGTAGCATTTATCCTGAGAAAACTTCTGGAACATCTTCTATGTCTAGTAGTATCTCTGCAATTCAACCTTTCTTTAACAAAGAGGTACCTCTATATTAGGATTTATGCTGACAGTTTCACAGATTGTCTTAGTAATGAAAGTCTCTATTGATTGGATTTTGATCTCCCAAGCAAACTATTTTCAATTTGATTGCACTACTGATTATCAACATGTCTTAATTATTATGCAGATGCTGATTCCTAAGTTAGAGATATTGAAAATTCTTAGTATGGATAAGCTGAAAGAGATATGGCCTTATCAATTTAGTAGTAGCCACGAAGTTAATGCCTGCATGTTGAGAAAGATTGAAGTGAAGAAATGTGATAATCTTGTGAATCTGTTTCCAACCAATCCTATGTCTTTTCTGGGTCGTCTGGAAGAGCTTGATGTTTCTGAATGTGGAAGCATTGAAGTGTTATTTAACATCGACATGAGTTGTGTTGGTGAAACTGAAGAATACAGTAGCAACTTGAGACGCATTAAAGTATGTGATATGGGGAAGCTAAGAGAGTTGTGGAGGATGAAAGGTGAAAGTAGCTCTGATATCCTGATCAGTAGCTTTCAATCTGTTCAATGTATAGAAATATATGACTGTGAGAGGTTTGTAAACGTATTCACACCGACCGTGACCAATTCTGATGTGAGAACACTTATGAATGTGAGTATAGATGGTAGGAGACCTTGTGAAGAAACCAGGAGAAACATAAAATTGGTTCGGAAAAGCCAGGAGGTATTTGATTTCATTGAGTTTTCTATTTTTATTTATATTTTGATGTTAGAGCACTTATGTATATGTGTCTTTATACATACATACACGTATATGCATATCACACTACAACAAATCAATCAATTCTACACAATTCTTTGGATGTGTTCACACTTTAAAGTGCATTAAGATTATTAACTTGCATGAAGAAATGAGTCCTGACAAGTTATTTCTAAATTTTTACACTTAAACATGTGATAAAAAAAAAGTTAAAACTGCGAATTTGAAACACGGACAAATTACCTATATTACTACTACACTTTTAATATTGGAAAAATAGGCTATATTTCCCGCATTGCTAAGTGTGGATCTGTTTTAACCTTCATACTATTATTAACATATTTATAAGCAAGTTAATGGGGACCAAAATTCCAAAACAATTTAATGGACCTAAACCAAAAAAATTAGATAGAAACACAGGGACTAATTTTGTAGTTTCGTGTGAAAAATATCATTTTTACGTATTTGTGTAAGTGCGTGTAGTTTACATATTTACTCGTAGGATATTTCTAATTATATTTGTTGTTGCGATATCTGCAGATTAATGTTATATCCAAGGCAGGGATCATTTCAGAGGGGTGTGGTAATATTCCTGACGTTGAATCCTCAATTCATCCCAAACCTATTCTTCATCAGCTTCAAGTAAACGGCTGTAAGGATGTTGAAGTGGTGTTTGAGATTGAGCGTTCTGGTAGCAGCAGCGGCAACACAGATTTCACAACAACTCTGCATAAATATAATCATCAACCACCATTACTACTTCCCTCCCTCAAGTATTTATATTTATTTGATATGGAGAGGATGAGTGATGTGTGGAAGTGCAATTGGAAGAAACTTTTAATTCCTCAAAATCAATCACAAACCTCATTCCACAACCTCACAATCATATACATGACTAGATGCAGTAGCATAAAGTACTTATTTTCACCTCTCATGGGCAAACTTCTTCCCAACTTAAAGGAGGTTCAGATATATAGGTGTGATGGTATTGAAGAAGTTATTTCATATAGAGATATTGATGAAAATGAAGAAATGGCAGGTACATCTACTCATACAAACACCATTTCCTTTCCTCTTCTTGATGACCTCGTCCTCAGTTCTCTGCCACGCCTAAAGAGTATCGATGGCGGTACTACAATCACAACTACTTCCATCCATGATCAATTCAAGGTATCATTTCTTTTAAGTGGATCCTTTACATATTCGGTTATTTCTTTATTTATTTATAATATTTTTTTCTCCAATAGCTGCTTTAGATAATACAGTAAGGTAATTCTTCTGACGCTGGAAAGATAAAATAAATAACTACATATAATTTTATATATATATATATATATATATATATATATATATATAGAGAGAGAGAGAGAGAGAGAGAGAGAGAGAGAGAGAGAGAGATGTATGAAAAATGGAATAAAAATGACTTTCTTGATGTCTTTTTTGTTGATATATTTTTTTAAAGTATATCCAATTATAGCATCATACTTTGAAAAATATACCCAATTATATGTGGCTACAATGAGCTGATAAGAAAAGTCCAAAGTACATATATGGTGGTCTTGGGTCATTTGTTAAAGGCTAAAATTCTAGAAATAGCAATTTACTTTCGTTGATTTACTTATAAAAGCATCTTACTTTCATTTTTTCATATTAAAGCATTGTACTTTAAGAAACCCACCCAATTATAGCAACGTCGTTAAGGATTTCCATTTCTGAAATAGAAAGAAATGAAACTAGGATGCCCTTCTTCAGTACACACAAGTAAAATTCATAGTTATAAATATAGGTGAAATATTTATATATTTTATGGTTTATATCATGTTTGCATGTGTTTATATCTCATATTTGTTGTCTTTTTTTAGTTTCAAAGATGAGGCTAACCATTATCATGACCACCACGTCCACTTCCATTGTCATACTTTGATTTGCACGTGAAATATATGTTGATTAAGTGCCAATCAAAGTGCTTCAAAGTCTCTTCATTTTCAAGTTTTAATTTGAATAAATGCTGATTAGCTGTGTTAATTACCACCTTGGCAGTTTTATTTTTCTTGTTTCTGTTTTCTTTTTTTGTAGCTGGTCATAATTTCCTGTAAGCCTATATACGGCCACTTTTATGATTTATTTAGTATACCTTTTCTTTCATCCACCATCTAGTTCTCACTTTGCCAAAAAAAATATAAGCATAGCATACAACTGATTTCTTCTATGTAGTTATATATATATATATATATATATATATATATATATATATATATATATATATATATATATATATATAACGAGGGTATTTTGGTCATTTGACAAAGCTTCTGTACTATCCGGTAGATTTATGTAGATTGAGAAGCAGAAGATGACAGACTTATCTCTCGCATGTGACCTTTTATCCATTTTTTCACCATAACTATGAACTTTCTCTTGTAAACCATTTGAATCTTTCAAAAGTGGGCCCACATCTGCGGCGTAGGTTGTCTTCTATCCTTATGCTGAATCTATTCAGATTGATTTTGTCTTTCTGAAGTATATATGCTTCCTATGCTCCTTCCACTCGCCTCATGTTCTTGATTCTGCCTGGCACCACCAGAACCATATAAAAGTTTCTGCTGAGGTGTAACTCCCTGGAACTTGTGAAAAGTCTAATGCCTTTTATTTTCTCTTCATAAATCATGGCACTCTATTTCAGTTGTCTCATGAAAGCCACCCAAGTTTGGAGTTATATTCTATGCAGACCACTATGACCTGCTATAGCAGGTTAAAGTGGTCACAATACAAAATTGTCAAAGTTGATTGCCGTTACTAAATTAATTGAACTAAACTTTGACAACTTTTCCAATTATTACCACTTTAACCTGCTATAGTAGGTCAAAGTGGTCAATATAGAAAGAAATTTCAAACTTGGGTAGGTTTAATGAGCTAAAAATGGAAATGGAGTTCTTTAACTGCAAAAAAAAAATGGCCGAAATATAGTGATGTTCCTGTATATTACCCTTTTGTAGTTCAACTTACATTGTCCACGTTTTTACTTAACTACCTTAGTTGTGGGGAGCACTTTTGTTTGTAACCACATTTCTAGAAACAAAAATTGTGCTAAATTAAAGTGTGTATGTGGGTAGCAAACAGCTAAGCTTTTTTAATTCAATCAGCTCCAATAATTTTTCTTGTGTTGTTGTAGTGTTCTCAAGTCGGTGTTGCTTCTTGGTTCTTATGCCAATACTCCAAAAAGATTGTTATAAGTGATTGTTATGCCTTGTCAAGAGTGTTTCCGTCCTATGTAGTGGGACAACTGAATAAGCTTGAAGAGTTGAGAATATCAAAATGTAAGTCAATGGTGGAGCTATTTGAAAGTGAAAGAGTCAATAATGATGGTGTTGATAGTATTAGTAATGTTGGTGATGGAAGTGATGATACTTGTACTACAATGGCCATCCCATGGTCGGCAAATAGGACGTTGCTTGAATTTCCCAACCTAACAATATTGAAAATCTATGACTGTGAACTTTTGGAATATATATTCACAAGTTGTACGCTTGAAAGCCTCAAGCAACTCAAAGAATTGACTGTAGCAGAATGCAAGTCAGTGCAAGTGATTGTGAAGGAAGACAGAGAGCACACAAAAACATCTAAATTTGTAGTCTTCCCTCGTCTGAAGTCCCTTACACTCGCAGATTTACCAGATCTCAAGGGTTTCTTTTTGGGGATGAATGAGTTCACGTGGCAAGTATTGGAAAAGGTTGAGATGCATGGCTGCCCACAAATGATGATTTTCACATCTGGTCACTCAAACGCTCCGAAGCTTAACTACATACACACAGCATTAGGCAAACATAGTCTTGAATGTGGCCTTAACTTCCATTTGACCAATGTTACACATGAGGTATGTTGTTACTTTACTTCTGTTGGATTTTAGCAGCACCAATAGAAACTTTACACCAAAATAGAAACAGGGACAGGAAAGCAACTTTACAGGGGACAAAAGTTAGAAGGGCAAAACTGGAAAAAAAACTATGCAGTTTTTGGTAAACTAAACAGGGACAGAGCATACCAAAGCTTTTTGAGGCTTTTCTTATTGAACTTCATAACAGAGAAAAGTGACATATCAGTCATGTACATAGCAGGTCTATTTAAAACAAAAACTTACATAAAAATAGGAACTAATTCCACTAAGCTAAAGACCAGGACTTTCAAACACTAGTTTGATTTATTCCACATTAAAATAAAACACGTGAGCAGCAGCCTCTGAATTAACTCTCAATACTTTCCCCCTTAATTCAGAGGCTTAAAACTTCTTGACTCCAATAAGATTCCGCATTTCTTCATGTTTAATTCTTCCCAGTGTCTTGGTGAGTATGTCAGCCTTCTGCTCTTTGCTACTTACATGACTCACTGTTATCTCCCCATTTTCTATGCATTCACGGATAAAATGGAATCTTATATCTATGTGCTTGCTCCTTCCATGAAAGACTGGATTCTTCAAGAGGTCAAGTGATGAACGATTATCAACTAGCAGAGTTACAGGTGGCACAGTTTGCCCTGTTAATTTCCCTGAGGAGTCTTCTAAGCCATATTCCTTGGCAAGCTGCTAGAGTGGCTGCCATAAACTCTGCTTCACAGGAGGATAAGGCAACACATCTCTGTTTTTGTGAGGCCCATGTAATCAAATTTCCATTCACATAAATGGCCATTCCACCTGTACTTCTCCTATCATTCACATCATTCCCTAGATCACTGTCAGTGTATCCAGCAATCACAACTTCTTTTCTTCCTCTTGAGTACTTCAGACCATAGTCAAGGGTGCCTTTCACATACCTGAGTATTCCCTTAACAGCTTGAAGGTGTTTTGTAGTTGGCCTTTCCATGTAGCTGCTTACTACTCCAACTGCAAACGATATGTCTGGATGGGTATGGGTCAGATACCTGAGTCCTCCAACGATGCTTCTGTAGTCTGTGGGATTCACCAACTCTCCTTATTCATCCCTGCGAAGCTTTAGCTTGTGTTCCATTGGGCTCTTGGTGGGGTTACAATCTAACATCCGGGTCTTGATGAGTAAATTCTTAGCATAGGCTTCTTGCTTTAGTGTAATCACACCATCCTGTTGAACTACTTCAATGCCCAAGTAATATGATAAGAGACCAAGATCACTCATCTCAAACTTGGTATTCATATCGCATTTGAAGTCTTGAACTTGCTTGTGGCAGCTACCAGTTACAAGTAGGTCATCTACATATACCCCAACAATCAGTATGTCACCATTGTGTTTCTTGGTGTATACCGAATATTCATGAGCACAACGAGCAAAACCCAATTGTTTTAGGTATCGATCCAAACACGCATTCCAGGCCCTCGGGGCCTGCTTTAAGCCATATAGAGCCTTAGTCAGTTTGTACACCTTGTTCGTCTCTCCTTCTTTCTGGTAACCTTCAGGTTGTGAGACGTATACCTCCTGTTCTAATTCGCCATTAAGGAATGCTGATTTCACATCAAGATGGTGCACCCACCATCCATTAGTTCCTGCTAAAGCTAGAATGAGGCGTACCGTTTCAATTCTGGCCACTGGAGTGAAAACCTCGTCATAGTCGATTCCGTGTTTTTGGACGTACCCCTTTGCCACAATCCTTGATTTGTGCTTTATGATCTTCCCAGTTGGGTCTCGCTTCAACTTGTACACCCATTTTAAACCTATGGGTTTTCGATTCTTTGGAAGATCGACTAACTTCCAGGTGTTGTTTTTTTTTTTCAATTGATGCCAATTCGGAATCCATAGTAGCTACCCACTCGCTACTCTTACTCGCCTCTGTGTATGATGTTGGTTCTCCATCATTGCGGATCATCAACAATTCTTCTGGGGTAGGTTGATTTCGTCGGTGTTCTTGTACAGCTCGGTGAGCAGTCGATAGCGCTTCGAGGCTCCACCGCCTGTGGAGCTTGAGGCGGTGTTGGGAGTTGCTATCAAAATTGGAGTATTTGGTGTACCAGGTGAATTTGGCGTACCTGATGTATCAATAAATGGGCTTGACTGAGATTTGACTTCAAAATTAATGGGATGGGAGTCTTCAGCCCACTCATCATTATTTAGAGGAGACCCAATTTCTTGTTGTGAGGTATCCGGCTCCCAGTCGACTTCATCATCATAAGCCTCGTCTAGGTTAAAACCTTCAACAGTGAAACTCATACCTGGTACCATTTTAATTTTCACACACTTCTCCCACACCCAACCTTGCTGTTCATCGAATACTACATCTCTACTCACGTATATCTTCCCGGTATCTGGTCCAGCAACCTATACGCCTTTGTTCCCTTTTCAATTCCTAGATGAACAAGTCGTATGCTCCTCTCATCTAGCTTCTTCAGATGATTCTTTGCAATTCTCATGTGAGCGATACAACCAAACACCCTAAGGTGTTCCACATTCGGTTTTCTTCCAGTCCACCTCTGGTAGGGAGTTGTATCACTTAAAGCTTTCGTATGTGCCCTGTTCAGAACATATACTGAGTGAGTTATAGCTTCCCCCCACAGAACATCTGACATCTTCATGGTCTTCAGATTACATCTAACCATTTCGAGCACTCTTCGGTTCCGTCTCTCCACCACACCATTTTGCTGTGGGGAGAATGGTGTTGTATAATGTCTTTCCAAACCCGTTTCATTGCAGTATTGGGTGAATTCATTTGACAAGAACTCACCCCCACGGTCTGTTCTAAACATCTTCAACTTCTCCCCAGTCTCTACTTCTACTCTCCTTCTGAAGTTATTAAAGACCTCAAATGCCCCATCTTTTGAATTTAGCAAATAAACCCACATTACTCTGCTAAAGTCATCAACAATTAGCATGAAGTAACGGTTCCCTGAGGGTGTAGGAGGTGAAACAGGGCCACAAAGATCACCATGAACTAGCTCCATCCTTTTCTTTGCTGTATAATTAGAGTGTGAAGGAAATGGTTTTCTTACTTGCTTTCCCACTAAGCACCCTTCGTATGGCTGTGATGGAATGGACATCTTAGGCATTCCTTTTATTAATTTCTTCTCCTGCATATACTTCATTGAGTTGAAGTTAACATGACCCATTCTCATGTGCCATAACCACGATGGGTCATTAGATTTTGATATCAAGCATATTCCTTTGACTTCTTCCAACTCTATTTTATAGAGTCTATTTGAGGACCTTCTAACCTTCATCAGTAATTTCCCAGTGACATCGCGGACCCACAAAAATGGATCTTTAATTCTTATTTCATCTCCTCCCTCTGCTAGTTGTCCCAGACTTATTATATTACTGCATAAGTCTGGGATATAGTATACCTCATCAAGCTTGCGTTGACTCCCATCCTTGCATTGAAAGACAATTGAGCCCTTTCCTTCTCTACGGACTTTTGCTTCATTCCCAAACTTCACATATCCTTGAATTGACTCATTCAGATTTCTAAACTTGCCCTTATCTCCAGCCATGTGGTTACTAGCCCCTGTGTCAAGATACCACATACCTGACTGACTGAAGATGTCACCTTGTGTCCTTAACTGTGGGGTCACATTTTCTTCATTGAGAAATACTTCACCATGTTCGAAAGTTGATAGAAGCAAAGCAGGTTCATTGTCATGATGGTCTTGTATCAAATTGTTTTCTTGATTTCTTTCTCTTCTGGGATTCTTACACTCAACTGCATAGTGTCCAAACTCTTGGCAGTTGTAGCATTGGATCCCACTCTTGTCTTGACTACTAGATTCTTGGTGATTCCCTTCCTTTTGATGATATGAACCCCCCTCTACCACGACCTCCACGACCACCTGATCTTCCTCTACCCCTGCCTCGACCACGCAAGTTTCCAAAATTGCCCCTATTTGACTTTTGCTTGGATTCTCCATCTGTTTTCTTCTTGTTCCTCTCTGACCATTCTTTATGAGTCAAGAGAAGTTTCTTTTCATCACTCTCTCCGTGACCTTTCATCCTCTCTTCATGGACTTTGAGTCTTCCAATCACTTCCTCAACTGACATTGTTTCTAAGTCTCCACATTGCTCCAATGTAGAGGCAATCTGAAGGAACTTAGATGACATAGCCCTTAGTAGTTTCTTCACCACATAGGACTCTTCTATGGTATCCCCTAAAGTGCGCAAAGTTCTCACTTTGTTGATCACTTTCACAGCAAACTCATCAACACCTTCCGATTCCTTCATACTCAATGCCTCAAATTCAGTCTTCAACGTCTGAATTCTTACAGTCTTGACTCTATCTGCTCCCACGAACATTGTTTTTAATGCTTCCCAGGCTTCTTTGGCTGTTTTCTTCTCAACCAAGGATAGTAAAAGGTCTTCTGGTATTCCTTGATAGATGGCTGCAAGTGCCATCTTATCCTTCTTCACTTCTACCACAGTGTTTGATGTCCTGGGTTCCATTGCATCCCACACTCCCTGGGCTTGCATGAAGACCCTCATCTTGATGGCCCAAGCAGAATAGTTACGTCTTGACAGCATCGGATAGTGGCGAGTAACCATGCCTTCCTTCTCACCATTTCCATTGTTTCCTGTCATTTCTGTGCGTGGTTGGTACTTTGGCATACACCAGGTCTTTGCTCTGATACCAAGTGTTGGACTTTAGCAGCACCAATAGAAACTTTACACCAAAATAGAAACAAGGACAGGAAAGCAACTTTACAGGGGAAAAAAGTTAGAAGGGCAAAATTGGAAAAAAACTATACAGTTTTTGGTAAACTAAACAGGGGACAGAGCATACCAAATCTTTTTGAGGCTTTTCTTATTGAACTTCATAACAGAGAAAAGTGACATATCAGTCACGTACATAGCAGGTCTATTTAAAATAAAAACTTACATAAAAATAGGAACTAACTCCACTAAGCTAAAGACCAGGACTTTCAAACACTAGTTTGATTTATTCCACATTAAAATAAAACACGTGAGCAACAACCTCTGAATTAACTCTCAATAACTTCATCATTTAATCATGTCGGCATGTTGTTATATGATATTCAACATATTATTTGCTTACAAATTTTGGTGGCTCATCTGTGTATTCTGAAACAAAAAACCCTGATGAAGATACATAACCACTTCCCTTTTATATCCATAAAAAGTTGTAAAAATATGCAATTTTATTTTTTATTATAAATTAATATTTCATTCCTAAGATATTAAGTTGTCTCTTATGTTATGAAAGATGTTATATTTACTAATTCAGAAGTTAACCTCTTAATATTTAAATCAAGTTAGATGAACTAAAGACAAAGGCCCAATTGACTCCCGCATTGTGGGTGTTTTTTTTCCATGTCCAAAGATGAAAAATACAATAACATAATTATCTTTTTTACTACAAAAATCGGAAGTAAATATTCAGTAGATGAACACAACTAGAACTAAACAAGTACATGGAAAATTACCTTTTTGGAGATTCCAAAACACTTATCTTTTACATTTTATTTCGTTTTGACCCCCCCCCCCCCCCCCCGCACACACACACACATACACAAAAAGGATTTTTTTTTAAATTTTATATAAAGATTCGACAGTTATAGATAAAATCTAAATTGTTGATTAGAAATACATGTTGGCTCATTGAAGAATAATAGAACTTGCAACCCTTTAATATGTTTGTATACTAAATGTATTTCTCTTTTATAATTGTCGTGTTTGTGATGATTTATGTTTGTTTTTTCTTAGCAGAATCAACTCCCTATGTCCTCTACTCCAGATATGATAAAGCTACATCAGTTGCCTTGGTCTTTTTCAAATTTAGTTGAAGTAGAAGCACATGAGTATGGTGACAAATTGTTGAAAAGCCGCATAATTTTTCCATGCAACGAGTTGCTTAATTTGAAGAATCTTGAAAAGTTTTTTATTGCCAATGCTTATTACTCTGTAATAGAGGAGGTATTTGAAGTAGCACAAGGAACAAATGATGATGTGGATAGTGAAACACAATCTGTTGTGGTATTTCCAAAGCTAAAAGAGGTGATTTTGGTTGGAATAAGTAATATGAAGCATATGTGGAAGAGCAATCGGTGGATAGTGTTGAACTTTCCAAACCTTACAAAGGTGTCTGTTAATGACTGTTCACTTCTTGGACACGTTTTCACTTGTTGCATGGTTGGTAGTCTATTGCATCTCCAAGAGCTACAAATAAGTGACTGCGAGAGTATGGATGTGATTGTCAAGCAAGTTGAAGATTCCGAAACTACACCGACTGAAGTTGTGTTCCCTTGTCTAAAATCCATAACACTTAACAACCTTCCAAATCTCAAGGGATTTTGCCTGGGCAAGTCGGCTTTTGAATGGCCATCATTAGATACTTTGGAAATCAAAGATTGTCCACAAATAATAGTTTTCACAAATGGGCAAGCAACTACTCCGGAGCTGAAGTTAATAAGTACAACTTTCGGATTGTGTGATGTTACGGAAGATCCAACCTCCTTTATAAAGACCAAACAACAAGAGGTATGTGGTGTCTCCTGTTCGGTTGTTATTAACATATTAATGTTTTCTCCAACAAAAAGTTTACATTACTTTCCGATTTACAACTTGTTCAAATCTCCTACAGGGATGGCAGTTTTAGAGAAACATCAAATTCAGACGTGCAGTTTGGTGTATTTTGAAGTTGGCTGTATAGCATAGGTAAGATTACATCGTACACTTGTTTCCTTCATCCTAATCATGTACATGTTTCTCCACCTTAATTATCTGATCACTGAATTTTTTTTGAACACCGGTTTGGTGCAGCGGGCAGTGACATCCGATAGGGCAGTATGCCATAACATCCAACGAACCCAGGTTCTATCCCTCCCCGGAGAGATAACAACAACATCCTTAGCGACCCAGTTTCCCATTAAGAGGTTTCACTGCTTTGGACATGGATAGAACTTGACACCATTCCCCAGAAACCCTTGGGAAGGGAAAACTGTAGTGTGCCTCCGACTAGTTGAATTGAACCATGAGGCTTATCTGATCATTGAATTGACTTTTTGTCAGGGTTGTTTGCTTACTCTTTCAATCTGGGTTATTGAACTTCTAGTTTCAAATAATCTCATGTATGATGTGTCCACTTCTTGTATTTGATTAAGTTAAGACCAAATTAGCAATAACTACACAACTTTTTCTTCAATGGTTTGTGCATACTCCACTATTTTCAAAAGTGCATAAATTAAGGGGCTGAAGGAGCATAGAATGATAATCTGTAGATGAAATTTCTTAGCACACACTAGACAAGAAAGAAAAAAAAAGCAAGAAATAATTTCTATAACATAAAATTGCCCTCAATTGAACACATATCTAAAGATGAAACTTTCTTAGCACACACTATTTTGTGTTGTGTTCATGTTTAAAATTCGATACGAATTTGACACGATTTAGCATTTGTACATCGTGTTTTTCGTGTTATGTATGATTAAATATTAATTAAATAAACTAATTTTTATAATATGTTATCTTTGTCATGTCATGTTTGTCGTTTTTTAGTTAGTTCGTTTTCGTTTTAGCTAAAAAAACGACACCGTGTCGTGTCGTGTTCGTGTAACGTCCCAAAATTTCAGAGTAAAATTTTCATTTTTAAAACAATAAGCCATACAAATAAGTTGTTCAAAAACCAATCAAAGTGATTACATCATGTAAAAATCAGACTAAAAATCATAAGTAGTCAAAGCAGAAACTCTATGGGATGTAGTGCGGTCACGTTCGGCCCTTCCGTTTAGAACCAGAAGTACCTAAAACCATAAACATAAAACCGTAAGCACAAAGCTTATTGAGTTCCCAAAAAACCATATACCATACATGTAACATCTGGATTCCCAGGTGTTTTATTTTAACCTTTTATTTTGAGTTAAAGAGAGGGACTCGACGAGTTGACGCCTAGACTCATCGAGTAGGATCGCGATTCGCTGACTAGATTAATGACTGGACTCGACGAGTCGGCTAGGTAACTCGACGAGTCTGTGCGGGTGGCAGAAACCCTAAATCTTTGGGACTGTGCCCTATTTAAAGGCCTTTATGGCCTTCATTTGCGGCCATCACACCCCTGAGAAACCCTAGAGAGCAGAGAAAAAGCTTGTAGAGAAAGAGGAGGGCTAATTCATCATTCTTTGGTGTGTTTTAGCAAAGGGAAGGAAGGATTTCAAGCTAGGCTGACTTGTAGGACTCAAATCTCCCATCATTTCATCCAGAGCTGTTGTGGGAGGTAAGGATTCATGTCTATCTTCATTTGAGTAATAGATTTCATGAATCTAGGGTTTATTCTCTTCACTTTTGGTAAGAGATCTAGTGTGTGTGATGTCCCCTTTGTGACAATATTATCAGATCTGGACCTTGAGAGGTCCAGAGAGTCCCTATTCTTTAGCTTTATGCAATCCTTTATGAGTTTGGGGCCTAGGTTATCATATTAAGAGTTATTTTGGCATATAAAGATGATAGTGTGATGCATGGGCCTAAAGTTCGAACCTTTACGTGACTTTTGAGTGCTAGAAGGTTAGATCTACTAGTTGGAGAAGCATATCTGACCTCAGAAGGTCGTTTGAGTGTTGCCATGGAAGGAACTCGCCGAGTCGAGTCGGGTTGCCCCGGGATTCATGACCAGTGGTAACCCGTCGAGTGGAAGGTTTGCTCGACGAGTCGAGTGAGGTTTAGATAGACCCAGAGGACACGCTTGGACCCGCCGAGTCGCCTATGCGCACTCGACGAGTCTGGTCAAGTTGACCGTTGACTTTCGTTGACTTTTAGGGTCTAGTCAATGTTGGGATTTTTGAGCCGTTGGAGGGGTAAAATGGTCTTTTACCCTCCTAAGAGAACTTAGAGAGGGAATAGCCTAGCCTTTGAGAGTCTATTGATTAGAGTAATTATTTTATGTTATTAGGCGGAGGGTAGATCAGTATTTCCGAGTTCGAGATTTACCGAGTTATCCGAGGTGAGTCTTCTGACTATATTGTACCTAGAGTGGTACCTATGTGTGACCGGAAGGTCTTATATGCTATGAGATGTATGTGTTGTATGCTGTTATATGATATATGTGTTATGTATGTTAAGGATCGGAAGGTCAAATTGGTATGGACCGGAAGGTCGATACGGGTAGGATCGGAAGGTCTACCAGGATTTCGAGATGGAAGTTCCCTGAGACACTTGGACTGGAAGGTCCCATAGAGTTATGGCCTTGAGTGGTGTATGTGTTGTATGTGGTATTTTGGGGAACTCACTAAGCATTTATGCTTACAACGGTTGTGTTATGTGTTTCAGGTACTAGCGAGGATCGCGGGAAGGAGCCGACATGATCCATACACACTTGTGGATTTTTATGTTTTGAGATTCTGGGATATGTTTTGTTATGATAACACTGGATACATTATTGTTTGATATTATCTTGTGAATAAAAGTATGTTTTAAAAATGAAAAATTGTTTTGGAAATTTATGTCGTTACAAGTTGGTATCAAAGCCTTGGTTTGAGGGATTCGGATGCACCTTCGGGTGTATTTAAACTCAAACTGAGGATTTGAGAAAGTTTTCATAAAATAAATAGTTTTTCTAAAAAGTAAAAGAATTTGAGAAAATCAGAAGGAAGCAATGTGTACGATCAGCCAACGCCCGAACGGTGATTTCCCAAAATACCCTTACATTATGTGTGACGAGATATGTTATGATATGTTATGCATGCTAGAGTAGGCTAGGTATTCATGTTAGGACTAGAGTGGCCTGATTTGTGGTGCCTTAGCCTAGGAATATTTCTGCTGCTATGGGATGCTTGAGAGTGAGTAGGTAGCAGTGAGGAGCTTATGTGGGGTCTACCGAAGGGTAGCCTATGCTAGCGAGATATAGAGTACTTGTGATCCGGGATCCTAGGATGAGGAATTGGGGTGAATACTTATGCGGTGTGGACGGTAGTATAAGGGCCCGTACTACTGGAAACACCGGATCAGTACGAAGTCCAAGTAAGAATCCTTAGGGTACTAAGGAACAAGTAGGGTTGAGTTATTGAGTGCGAGTATGATCGAGCGAGTCTCTAATATTTTATGTTGTATTTCAGAGACATCATGGTTGGGACACGCCACAGGCCTGAGACGAGCGGCGTGAGTGACGAGAAGCTTCGTCAGATGATCCACGATGAGGTGGTTGCAACGATCCGAGCCGAGATTCCAGAGATGTTTGGGTCTATCAAGACCACATTGATTGAGACCTTTGATGAGCGGTACACAACGGTTACTGAGGCTGTGGATGTTGCAACTTCGCTTGGGAGCAAAGGGCTGGTGGAAGTTTGTGACAGCAGACTTCACTACATCAGAGCTTACTACGGTGACCTGGGAGAGGTTCACCACGATGTTTCGAGATGAGTATGTTCCCCCTGTGGAGAGGGAACATTTAGCCCAAGAGTTTTGTCTCTCAAGCAGGGGACGGAGTCAGTGACTGTGATTACACGGATGTTCCATGAGAGGGCGTTGTTTTGCCCTGAGCACGTGTCGTCTGAGCAGGCATGCATGAGTCGGTACTTGAGCATTTTGAGGAGGGATATCAGGGAGTTCGTGACGAACTCGTCATACCGGACATTTGCTGAGCTCCAGGAAAATGCCCGGAAGAGGGAGATTGAGATGGAGACTCAGGCCCGGGAGGAGGCCGAGTCTCAGGGGAAGGATCGGCGGTCGGCACAGCCTCAGCCGGCAGCCAAGCGGGCAAAGCCCGCCGATTCGAGATCTGGAGGCTGGGCTGTACTTGTGGGAAGTGCGGCAAGGGACATGATGGGGTTCATCGATCAGGTGCTTGCTACAAATGTGGCAAGGAGAGGCACATAGCTAAGGATTGCCCCAAGGGGTTCATGGTTTGCTTTTCATTACAACCAAACCGGACACTGGAAGGCCGAGTGTCCGCAGCTGCGGTGGACAACACAGGAAGCACAGCGGGGATCTGCCCCTGTTGCCGTGCGAGCTACTGAGGTTCGGCCGGTGCAGGCCGATGCACCAAAGGCTCGCGGGAGAGCCTTCTAGTTGACAGCGGAGGAGGTCTGCGCGGCGCCCGTTGTCGTGGCTGGTATGTATTCTTTCATTTATTTATGCTGAGTTTGAGATATTGTGCTTATATTATGATATGCGTAGGTACTTTTCTTGTGAGTTCTGTATCTTCTTTGGTGTTATTTGACTCGGGTATGAGTTGGTCATTTGTGTCTTTAGCGTTTAGTCAGCACATCAGTATCTAGCGGGAGGCGTTGAGTCGACCTCTACGAGTTTCCATAGCTAACGAGCGAGCGGTGTATGCTACGGATATGATTCGAGGATGTGTACTCGAGATCTTTGGTGTTGAGTTTCTGATAGATCTTGTCCCGATTGCGATGGGGGACGTGTGTGTCATAGTGGGCATGGATTGGTTGAGCCGATTTGGGGCTGTTATAGACTGCGAACGACAGTTGGTGACGATACGAGACCCTAGTGGGGGAGTACTTACGGTGTATGGCGAGGGTACCCGTTCTAGGTCAGCATTTTGTTTGGCCGCTAGAGCAAGACAGAGTCTACAGTAGGGCTGTAGTGGGTTTGTTGCCTATGTGATGGACACCCGAGTGGCCGCAGAGAGGCGATGTTCGGTTGATGATGTACCGATAGTGCGAGAGTTCCCGGACATTTTCCCCGAGGAGTTGCCAGGTGTGCCTCCCGAGAGGCAGGTGGAGTTTCGCATCAATTTAGTTCCGGGAGCGGTGCCTATTGCCAAGGCACCCTATCGCCTTGCGCCGCCAGAGATGCAGGAGTTATCCTCGCAGCTTCAGGAGCTGCTGGGGAAGGGGTTTATTCGACCAACTAGCTCACCGTGGGGAGCGCCGATCCTTTTTATCAAGAAAAAGGATGGTTCACACCGGATGTGCATTGATTACCGGGAGTTGAACAAGTTGACGGTCAAGAACCGTTATCCCTTACCGAGGATCGATGATCTGTTCGATCAGTTGCAGGGAGCGTCTTGGTTCTCCAAGATTGATTTGAGATCTGGATATCATCAGATGAGGGAACGTGATGAGGATATTCAGAAGACGGCGTTCAGGACTCGTTATGGGTATTACGAGTTCATGGTGATGCCTTTTGGGCTCACCAACGCACTAGCAGTGTTCATGGATCTCATGAACAGGGTGTGCAGACTGATGTTGGATCGGTTGGTGATTGTATTCATCGACAATATTCTGGTGT